TTTTTTTTTTTTTTTTTTTTAGTATTTTATTTGGTATTTAATTTGACTATGTATAAAATAAATAAATAATTTCGTTTATCATAAAACTAGTTGAAACTAAGTACATCATGTAGGTATATTAAACTGTAGTAAATTTTTACCTAATTACTATTAACAATAGAATATGTTTTTAGAAAAATAATATTATTATAAAAGTTCCCCTTTGGGTAAGAATCATAAATTTTACTCTAGTATTTGATTTATCTTCTTATTTAAACTTATTAAAAATATGCTTATTATTGTATTAACTATTTTCTTAGTATTATAATTTATAGTAAACTTAGGTACAGACTATTTTATTATATTTCGTTATTTCATTAAATATTTTAGATACAGAATAAATATCATAGACAAATAAATATTTTGGTGAGTTATATTACCTACACAATATAATATAAGGCTAAAAACCTGTATTGTTGAATCCTTAATAAACTTTAAAATACTCGTATATATATATATATATATATAATATAAGATGGCTATTATTTTTTTTTTTAAATCTGCCATTCAATGGTATAACATTATAGCTCTGTACAAGGTCGCGGAAATCGATCTATATTGTATTTAGGTTTACTAGCTTTTTCAAAGTATCATATCATTCACGAAGATCTGTAATGTATAAAATGTGAAACTCTCATGCTAGTGTGAGACTATAGGTTAACATATAATAGAAATCACACTATACAATACAGTGGAAATTAAAATAAGAATCAAGAAATGTGTTTCTTCGATCAATCAATTTCCAGCTCAAAGTTAAATGATTGTATCTTTTCCATATCCAAGACTTTATAATTTATTATACTTAATTGTAATATTATAATTACATTGTGACGGTAGGTAGCTAGTAAAACAATTATTTTATTTAAATGGCTAAATAATAATAATTAAAAAAAAAAACAATTATTTGTAAATAGTTTGATTTATTCGTATGGCTAATACTATACATATAGTGTTTATATACTTATGAGATGTGTTAACATACTTTTATACAATATTATGAATGTAAAACAACGTGTATATATTGCACAACTAATAACGTTTAATAATAAATTATGTAGGTATAACACATAAACATTATAAGCAGTTTAATGACGCATCTACCCGAGAACGTTTTCCTATATATTTACATAATATATTTTATTTRTTGAAGTATTATGCGTGTTTCAATYATTCCATTTCATTTGAGAGTTGAGGTTTTTAGAAATGTGCGTATTGCATTTCAATGATAAATTGATCAGTTATATTGAATAAATTCAGGAAATTAAAAATCATATTATATGTAATATGTATATCATAGTAAATGGACGCTTAAGATATTGTTTTTCGTGTTTTTTAAATAATGCAATAAGTGTATACAGTCGATTTACTCAAATAATCAATATTCACCATTGTAAAATATGGTGTGCAATGCGTTTCTAGGTTTAGTATACTTATGCGTTTGTGATTACGTTCGTCAAGGTAACGTTACGTACAGTTAAATACTCTATACGCAGTATATATTATATATTATGATGTATGCCTGCATACATAACTATTTAAACTCAATAGAMAATGTTATTATACTTTCAGAGTACTTGATTGAATTTTAAATTTAAATAAAATGTGTAATACTAATATATGCAATAATATGTTGATGTCAAGTGGTTTTTGTTTTTATTTTTGTTGCATAACTCATTAGCTCTTCTTTATTAGTAAGTTTCCATTTCATACATTATGTATAATTAATTAACTATTTATTTTTGATAATAAAACACGTTTTCTTTTTATGAAGAACCCTATTATACAGTATTAATTAAAAAATTCGAAGGTATAAAAGTACTGATGCGTTATACATTATAATGATACAGCTATATATAGGTATTCAGCATTATTATATATTATATTTTTTCTTAAATGCATGTTTTTTTATAAGTAGAAGATGCATATTAATTTATTATCATATTATTCTAATGGTTTATTTAAAATTTAAATGTATATTATTATCGGGAACGTTATTATATTATACTAAATAAGTATTTTTCTTATGACAAATACCTACGTAGCCAGATGCCTAGATACATTTGTATACCATATGATTTATCTCTCAAATAATAAATTAACTAGATACTGAGCATTTTTCCAACGAATTCAATTACAATTATGTACAAACGACTTCTATAAGTAAAGTATATAATATATAATATAATTATGTGTGTTATTTCATATATTATCATAGTAAATGGTCGTGACTAGCTCAAGCTCTGCAGAACTCATATTCTACCCTAACTCGACGTGGTATACGACTTGAAAAGTTTACCTACCGGTGACATTCGATCGGAAAAAAATAATCATTATAATTATTTTATCGTATTACCAGCTAGAACTATCGCGTATAGGTGGTATTAAATGATTCGTCGTTCCTATATCTATGTATACACACGTAAAAATTAAATCATTATAATACGCGCGTGTTTTATCTTGTACACATAAATGTACAATAATATATCAAATTGCACAGATATAATGATATGTACGTACTATTGCACTAAATATTTTGATGTAAGTACGCTAAGAGACTTTAACGCAGACTATGTGTGGTTCGAGCGCGAACTATAATATACGATTATAATATCGATTCAAAATCAATATTTTATCACTTCRGCAGYCAAAGTTCGGCTGAATGCAAAAAACAACTATCGGTATGTTAATATTTATTATAATTAAATAAGTRATTACAAAACATAGACTCACTGAGATTTCATTCGTACGATCATCTCAAACAGATTGCTGTCGTTGCCGCGAACACATACAATTGTATATACGCGTTGTAGGTATATTGCCGTATCGTGTATRTGTATATATAGCACTCACTCACACGAGAACTCCGGCGGTGAATATAATTTTTACGATTACGATAAATGATTGTAATAGAACATATTATTTTGTATTAATTGACACTCGACGAGTCGTGAGTACCTAATATATTATACCGCCGTCGTACGCCGATCTCGGCCGCGTGTTCCGGTCGAGATGAACAAGACTACGGAGTCATCGATGACTGTAATATCACACGGTGATGGTCAGGCCGCGGTTCACGTCACACTGAACGTTGTTCATTCAAAAAAAAAAGAATACAACAAAACGCAGGAACACACGAATCGGTCTGGTCGACGGCCATATGCAAGCAGCGTGTCCGCAGTCAACTCCCACTACATTACAATAATGTTTATGCGTGTATATTATAATGTACATAATATACGACTGCATTCGTTCGGGTAGTGGAGGTGAGTATTATTACGTCATCGCGACGAGACCCACTTTTCTTGGGCGGCGGCGGCGTCGATGTACCTACCTTTATTTATATATGATAGGTATATATCATAATATAGATAATGTACCTACAGATCTCTGCCTGCGACAACAGATCTCAAAACCCCGGAAAACTTGTGATGTATAATAATATCAGATCGATAATATTTTTTAATGCCTATATGGATAGGTACTATTCCAACCACAATACTTGAAAATATATAGTCAAAAAAACTGTAATAATTAATATAATTACCTATTATACACGGCAATCCATAATTTATATGTGTAATGTATATATATATTGCATAACAACGATGTGAAAAAAATATACAGCTTTGGAAATTTGAAATACACTCTGAGGGTTGTCTTGGTTTAGCTAGAACTGTACTAATTATAATAATATAACGTCCAGGCGCCTTGATAAAGTGTTTCGATCAATTTCAGAATTAATAACTTAAATAATTTATATAAGTACCTATGTTCTTTTATTAAACATTTTGAAAACAAATATCATTTCGAAAAATTATAATATAACTATAATCATCATATTTAAATTGTTATGTATTAATTAAAGCATAAACATTTTCTATTTAATAATTTATACATGCATTTAAATAGGTATTACGATATATGTGCCTGTTTAAAAAAAATTTTAATGTTAGTTATTTAATTTATACTTTGTATGCCAACTGCTAATATGATGTGACGCAGCTGATGGTGTTGAGGTGTTATCAACTGGTGATTGTCTTCGCATGAAGGAGTGGTAAAATTCTTCCCATGAAAATTATACAACAGATGTTTGTGCGGGTCTAAGTCAAATAATAATAATATTATAATAACCCCAKATACTTACTGTCACTTGAAAAAAATCGTCTAGAACATGCTGCTCCGTATAATAATATATATTATGCCGATAGTAATTTGTTTTACTGCTTTGCATTGCATAGGTAGGTATTATATACCTATACACATATTATACTATATCGTAAGGTAATAATTTCTCGGAAAGCGCGCGCGATATATTCGACTAGCGTATAATGTCTCGAAATTGACCGAAATAACGCGATTTCGTTTCACTATTATTATCATGATCATCGTCATCGAGATCATGATCATCATGATCACGATACGCGTATCACTATTATTATTTATATTTATGTGTGTGGTGTGTGCGTCAAAAATCGCTTAAAACACACGCCAACAGCCGATCGGCATATATTATATATATATATTATATATATATACACCGTGACGAGTGCGTAAATAAATGCGTGCGCCGTGTGCGTCCATATAGTGTAATATAATAATATGTTCGATTATGATTCGACTGCACCATTTYTTGACTCAAACTGCCAATTACTGTTATTATTCGCATACAGGTACGAGCAAATATAGGTAGGTTAGGGTACCTACGAAAGTACACATGAACTAGGTGTGTTTGCCGCARTAATCGAAAACCGTTTTTCTATTTAATGATTTTGGAAAATCATTAGGTATATTGGTACCTATACTACCTAAGTACTCCGATGGAGATACATTTCGGAAAATTATAAAATTCTAATTTACATTTTTTCGGTTTACCGCAGTATCGAAGTTGTTCTAGTCTTTACTATTTGTATCTAACTTTTATTAGATATATCATAAACGTCGTGCGTGCTCATAGCATATAATATATCATGTTGAACCAGTCAATCACACGTTAACAGTGGATGGCCGGGGGTTGTTTTACCCATTTTACCCCTCCCAAAAAATGTTTTAAGAAAAAAAAATGTATTTTAGTGCAATATCATGACTTTTAATTTTTAATTATGTCGGTTTTAATTTATGTACCACTTCCAAACTTATTATTTACACAATAAAAATTAGGCACTGTGTCTATGAGATATTCCCGACCCACAACGGACACCCTATCTATGACTACATCGTGTCATGCACACATATATAGCAACATAATGTGTACCACATAAGAGCGGTGGCCCGGCGTTCTACTTTATAGTTATATCTTATATATATTATACCTACCGATAAAATGTTTTATCGAATTAGTTTTTGGTGGGCCGCGCGCCTCAGGTGAAAAATAAAAACTACTTTTGACATCGTTATAATTTTATAAGATTATTACTATTATTATCATTATAGGTTTATAATAATATTATACTATATTATATCTATATATATGTTATATTGGATATCGCGCAATATAATATCACGCGATCTTTATTCGATTATGATTACCTCYCGAGACACGACGTTCAATTAATTATCCAATACACGACTGCACGCCGCTACTGGTCTTGAGTCGTTTAAATTGCTTTCAAATGGCTTTCCAACCGCTTAAATAATAAATTGAAACCTATAATTATCAATTTTTTTAATAATCGTAATACTTATAACCGGGTAAGGAAAAATATGCGTTTTGTTCAATAAAATATCAAATGTGTTTGCTTACAACGCGTCGAACACTTTTTTCCGGATTAACAGCGTTTAGTTAAAACTATATACCTAGGTAGTAAATTTAGAAATAACAAATATTTTTTAATTAATTTAAAATTTCACAGCTGAATAGCAGTATTAATTTATTCTAATTTTATTTCCAATTTTATTTAAATATGTATTATATATATTTTAAACATATTTTTACCACATTCAACCGTTAGGAATTCCAGCTTTTCCTTATAATGAGAGTATTTATTTCCTGATTTCAATTCAACGTTTGTTTTTTTAAATATATACTAAAAAAACTTCAGTAGAAACTGGTTTTTATATTAATTGTCTGTCAACATAAATACTTGATGTCACCATTTCAACAGCTTGAACACACTACGCCTACCCTTAATATTACAAAATCATCATAATATATTCGTACACTTCTGAAATGAAAAACATAAGATGCTTCCTCTTCTTCCTAGACAATTAAATAAAATCATTTTTAATTAAACAATTTATATTTATAAATAGATTTTCAGTTTTCTACATAGTAAATCCTACACATCGTAAAAGGTTAAACTTGTTTTGTTCCAATATATTTATGTATATATATCAAATTATAGGTATGTCTTAATATGAAGTATTTATTAATTTATTTGAGTAATTTATTTCGTTTAATGCACATAAGCATTATTCATTTGACACAATGACAATATAATTATAATACATGTATATAATATTTTAAATCGTATTCGGTGTACAGTTTTTCTTTGACGATCGAAGGATAAACCGGCATAACGTTATTCTGTGAGCTGTATAAGTAATAATATAGTATATTAATATAACCAAATGATGACCAATATCTACTGTCTGGATCATAACAAATTGATCACTAAATTATAAATGTCACTGAAAGCGATACGTCTACATACAATATTCAAATTTCTAAATTCAAATATAATATAAATAATTATACACCATACGATTTTATTTTTCAACAAAATATATGATACCTATACAATATTATTATATGAATGATTCAGGTAACATAATATTATACAGGCCACATACCTACCTATAAAATAGTTATCTACATATATGTGTATGCGCGTTATTTGTAGGTATGTGTAAGTAGACATTGATCGATATATGTATATTTTCTTTTTTTAAATTATCGTTTTTAAACATCGACATCGGGGTCAGTTTGTGAAGCTAATTTTGGGTATTTTAAAGATTTTCTTTAATAGATACGAGATTCGAATACATCACAGCTGATTATTTGATTATACCGCGAGCTTGATGTTCCTCACGTAGGTATATTGTCTAAAAAAAAACACGTTGCCTGCAGTGATTGTTTACACAAGATAAAAAAAATGCTTTCCACAGCTCTATAATAGGCTAGTTCTATATGAGCCTGTCACGAATTTTGTTTTTAATGTACAATATCGTTCCCAGGAATTATGCATATCCTGTACCTACTTCTAAAATAACATTTTTTTTCCTATTTTATGCACGAACAAAATCTATTATATACTACAGGAAATGTCTAATAATACCTATTCTTATTATTTCAGTGATTGAGATTAAGTTTTTATGATCTTAGAAGTTATGAACTTAAAAGAAAAGAAAATATTCATTGGGTTTCATTTTACCCAAGTTAAAACTATTTTGAGATTACTTTACACAAACAATTTGAATATTAAAATATTATAATATATAAAATACATAAATATAAGAAGTGAAATATTTTAACAATTTTGCACATTATTATGAATTTTCTTGGGATTTAATATTTAATATTTGAACAAACTGCCATACATACAAAACAGCCAGTTGCAGGTCTTTCAATAATATCTATACCTTATAAATTCATGTACATCTTTAATATAATATTCATTCAAGTCCGTTTTAATCAACTCTTCRAAGTAAGTTTTCAAAATAGCTCTGTTTATAATTTATCCGAGCTATGCTCATATAACGAGAAATTTATAGATCGACAAGAATTGCGATTAATTTTAAATATTTTACTGTTATTCATTGTATTTTCATTCAATAGTCAATAATTTTATTTAGACTATACAAACAATCGTATTCTTCATAAATTTAAGTTAAAATATTTCTCGATTAAAGTTTAAAGACGTTACTGTATTCGTATGCACTTATTACTTATTTATCATTAGTGCAAATTGCAATATCATAAAGCCTAAATTCCGAGATGAAGAGCAAATAATGTGTAGGTATACTAAAGAAAACCGGCAGAAGACCACTATTTTGATATAAATACGAGTATAACTGTACAATGGCGGAAATGATACATCATTAATTTTTAATTTTTTTTTAAAAAATCTTTATTTAATGACGTTAATCGCTTGTGTGTC